CATGATGGCATATATGACATTAGTGGATGTGCAGGTGAATGAGCCCCTGATGGTGTGGCTGATGTGGTTGGGTCCTCTGATGGTGTCGCCAGAGTAACTATAGGCTGGTTAGCCTGATATCAGTCCTGGGGAAAAATAATGGAAAAGCAGATACAGGATTCAGTTAGCTAATGATGAATTGAAGAATATGAATATAATTAATGCCACTCAGCCTAGTTCTGTGGGTACGTAGCTTTTGTCAAACAAACCTGATTTCATACAGGGGTCATAGTGGATAAGCAAAGCCATATAAGCTCCCGGTGCAATGCTGTGGGCAAAAGGGCTGATGCGATGCCTGGATGTATAACAGGGGAGTCGTGAGTGGGAGCGCCAAGGACATTTTCCCTCTGTATATGGCAGTGGTGAGGCAGGTACTTGGAATATAGCACTCATTCTGGTGCCCACCTTTTAAAAAGGATGTTGAAAAACTGGAGAGGGTGCAGAGAAGAGCCAGACGTGCAGATGTGCCCTAAGGCTGTATGGGGCTGGCCCTTCCCTGGGCCGTGCAGCGCTGTACGTGCAGACGTGCCCGAAGGCCAGACGGGGCCGGCCCTTCCCCGAGCCATGCAGCACCGTATGTGCAGACGTGCCCCAAGGCCATGCTCTAAGGCCCTAAGTCTCTGCTGTTCCATGGGGCCGTGCCCCTGCCCACGAGTATGAGGGCCCATCTGACCCCATCCCCCTTTTTTTTCCAGGCCCATCTCAGCCATGAGGAGCAGCAGTGCCCGGGCATGGCAGGAACTGCTGGCCCTGCTCTGCAGCGTCTGGCTCTGGGTGGGCGCTGCCCAGCGCACCGGGCCTACGCCCACGTTGCAGAGCCAGGGCCCCAAGCTGAAGTTCCGCCTGGCCGGGTACCCCCGCAAGCACAACGAGGGGCGCATCGAGGTCTTCTACAACGAGGAGTGGGGCACCATCTGCGACGACGACTTCACGCTGGCCAACGCCCACGTGTTGTGCCGCCACCTCGGCTTCGTGGCCGCCACCGGCTGGGCCCACAGTGCCAAATATGGCAAAGGCGTTGGTGAGGGTCGTGGCTGGCAGGGCCAGAATCTATGTGTGTATGTAGATTTGCACACACAGGGGCGGGGGGCAGTGCATGTGAAGTGCCCCCCCCCCACCCGTGGCTGTGGGGCTGGGAACTGTGTGTCTGCAGTAGGGCTAGGTGTATGTGAGCAGTGGGTCAGGGTGTGTTTGTAGTGGGGCTGGGGGCTGTATGTGTGCAGTGGGTCAGGGTGTATGCGCATTGGGGCTGGGTGTGTGTGCAGTGGGGCTGGGTGTGTGTAGTGGGTCAGGGGGTGTGCGCAGTGAGGCTGGGTGTGCGCAGTGGGGCTGGGTGTGTGCAGTGGGGCTGGGGACTGTATGTGTGCAGTGGGTCAGGGTGTGTGCAGTGTAGCTGGGGGCTGTGTGCGCGCAGCGTGTCAGGGTGTGTGTGTAGTGGGGCTGGGGGCTGGGTGTGTGCAGTGGGTCAGGGTGTGTGTGCAGTGGGGCTGGGTGTGCGCAGTGGGTCAGGGTGTATGCGCATTGGGGCTGGGTGTGCGCAGTGGGGCTGGGTGTGTGCAGTGGGGCTGGGGACTGTATGTGTGCAGTGGGTCAGGGTGTGTGCAGTGGGACTGGGGGCTGTGTGTGCGCAGTGGGTCAGGGTGTGTGTGTAGTGGGGCTGGGGGTTGTGTGTGCGCAGTGGGTCAGGGTGTATGCGCATTGGGGCTGGGTGTGTGCAGTGGGGCTGGGGGCTGTATGTGTGCAGTGGGTCAGGGTGTATGCGCATTGGGGCTGGGTGTGTGTAGTGGGGCTGGGGGCTGTGTGCGCGCAGTGGGTCAGGGTGTATGCGCATTGGGGCTGGGTGTGTGCAGTGGGGCTGGGGGCTGGGTGTGCGCAGTGGGTCAGGGTGTATGCGCATTGGGGCTGGGTGTGTGCAGTGGGGCTGGGGGCTGGGTGTGTGCAGTGGGTCAGGGTGTGTGTGCAGTGGGGCTGGGGCCGGGGGAGGCTGGGATTCCAGGGCAGGGGCTCCTAAGGAGGCTGCTCTGGTTTTTGTGGGTGGGGAAACCCCAGGCTGCCCCCCCCCCCGCCCCTGGGAGCTCCCCGGGAAATCACCCTTTGGGGGGTGAGATTCATGTTTCTTCCGACTTCTTTTTGAGTTGCATTGACTTGCCCCACACTGCCACATACCCCCAAAGACACCCCCCCACCTTATATACACCCCGGCCCTGCCCGTGACCCCGCCCTGGCCTGGTGCCTCTGCAGGGCGGGTCTGGCTGGACAATGTGAACTGCGGGGGCAGCGAGAAGAGCATCGCGGACTGCAAGTCACGGGGCTGGGGGAACAGTGACTGCAGCCACGAGGAGGACGCGGGCGTGATCTGCAAGGACGAGCGCATCCCGGGCTACGTGGACTCCAACGTCATCGAGGTGAGTAGCTGCAGCCCTGGGGTCCGGGCCCCATGCCCCACACAGCGGGACTGCCAGTCCCCCCCCCATGTCCCACGCAGCGGGGGCTGCCCTCCGCCCATCCCCCACACAGCGGGACTGCCAGTCCCCCCCGCCCCCCGCAGGGCTACCACCAGCCCTCTCGCTGGGGCCCACACACTGGGGCTGCCCTGCCCTGACCCAGTCTTGCTCCTGCCCAGGCTCCACCTCCCGGGTTCTCTTGAGCCTGGTGCGGTCTCTGTGTCCCTGTCACTGGGGCTGCGCAGGCTGGCACCAGGTAGGCTGGGGTACTGGGCAGGCCGGTGCTGGACAGGCTGGCACGGGGCCGGGCAGGCCGGTGCTGGACAGGCTGGCA